TCAATATTATATGATAATTTTTTTGGTATTAGAAAAGATAGTGAGTATTTTTTTAGGATGTGATATTTGTGAGAGAAAAAATAAATAATACGATTAATTGATATTTTGTGTTTAAAATTTCATTGTTTTTGTAATTAAAAAATTTGTCTTTTAATTAAAAAATCCAAAAAAAAATCAACCCCATAACTTTCCAGAACACCACCTTTATGTTCATTTGGTAGTTTGGGCTATCAAATTGTTAGAATTTAATTAATGATTAGTTCTTCTTGTAGTTGGATGGACAGTAAATGGTTTTTGTGAGTGACTTTGTGTATTAATTATTTTCAATCTTAGAGATTCTCTTGTTTTGTAGACATAATATTAAGTATTATAAAATAAATATATAAAATATATCAGAAAGATTTTTCATATTTTATTAAAGTTGAGTATTTTGATTATATGTGAATTCAAAGTGAAGATTTTTTAAGTCACTTTTTATAATACTTTTTCATAATCCGTATATTATACTTACTTATTTGTGAACATAGTACTCTCTTGTGCTTTTTTTCTCGATTTGAACTAATAAGAAGATTCTTTTAACAAAAACAAAAAATAAAAAAAAACAAAAAATTAAATTAAAAAAATAGTAAGAGATAAAGAAAGTTTATCCTTCAAATTTTGTTTACTTTAATTTAAATTCTTGAGTCATTTAGGTCATTTTACTTTCAATTGAATAACTTTGATATTTAGGCCTTATTGGCTAGACTCTGTTTTAATTTAAAAGTAAAAAGGTTATTAAAAAATCAAAAATCTATTAACTACACAAAAAAGTTTTAAAAACTTTTTATTTTATTTTTTTACATGTTTTCGTAAAAACCAAAAAGTCATTTCAAGCATACAGTTATTTTGTCTCATATTTTTACTAAAAAAAAATCAAAAAATTAAATAAAATATCATGTTTCCAAACAAGGCCTTAATTTTAGTTGTATTCCATATTGATCAATTAATAACATCGTTAGTTTTTGAATAAAAAGTAATCATTGAATTGTTGAGATTAAGTCACAAATTGATCAAATTTAATATTTCTCCTAAAACCATCTGTTAGAAAAAAAATACTAACAATTAGAATCAATTGAATCAATTTGAGACAAAATTAAAAGATTCAATAAGTCAAAATAGAGTTAATGAAATTATTATAATCGAAATGGACACGAGACAAGTATAAAACTACTGTGTAATTTATACCCAAAATATATACAAACTGATGTTGTCTTTTTTGTTGTTTGTCAAGTAAAAATATTCATCCACGTAGTTGAGACATCAGCATTAAAAATTAAAAAAATTAAAAAAAAAAATTCCATTAACGACATTCATTTTGTAAGAGTTTTGTGTTACAAAATAAATAAATTAAACTGGTACGAAATTTTATGCATTTTTGCGAAACCTACAGGCAATGTTGCATACTCTTAAAAACTACCTCAAAAGTATAAGAATTTAAATAATATGCGTGAATCGGATTTTTCTTGATGATTCCATTTCTTGCCCATTTAAATTTATAATATTTCTCTCTATTGTGAGTATCATTACATTTTGTAAAAATCTATGTTTATGTAAATGTAATATCAAAGGTAAAACGCAGCAAATGAAAGAATTATGGTCTATACCTTTATGAACAGAGTCATGAATTGAAGGATCTCGCGTGTTAAATCACGTGTGTTCCTGAATCTAATCACTGCAACCTAGCAATGGAGTGATATTACAATAATGAATATTTACCCACACCAATCACAGTTGCAAATGGCTTTATCGTTGGTTTTTGGAGAGAGTTAGTATATGGGAAAAAACTCAAAGCATACTTGTTTTTTCTCATAATCCCATATCCATATTATCAGATATTGATAATATGTTTGTCTCATTTATCAATATCAGTTATTGAAATTAATATAAGTATATTATCTAATCCATATCAATTTATGATAGAATATAATATATATTATAATATTCGAGTGGTATTCCAATATAGGTTTGAATTTGAATTCCAAACCCATTTGATAAGGTCAAAAGATTCAAAGGGTCTGCCACATGGGCGCTTCATTTCTAACATGTCCCACTCGCACATGAGTTGGCAGAACACTGCCATATTCTATATCTTCAAGCTCCCAAAAAATGAACAATTCTCCATGTAAGCCAATGGCACCGGTGCGACTGCTGAAAACCACCTGCTTTGTGGGAGCTCTATTGTAGGACCGTCCCCGAAACGACCCCGGGAGGAACGACGCTCCCGTTCTGTTTCTTGGGGTCACTTACAGCTCAAGACTCTCCAAATTTGTCACGGTTCTAAGTGCTGAACCAAAGAGTCCAAATCGGCAAATCGTTTTGAGAAAACAGATTTTTGATAAGGAAGTGCCAAACATGACCTAGCTTTGCAGATACACGAGGTCGCCACCTAAATGTTTCTTAATGGGAATTTAGAGAACCCTGACTCGGATGCCAAAGGTCACCGCAGTCCCGTCATCAGCCAAAGTTCTGCCTCGGCTCGGGAACTTGGTCACGATTGGGGAAGGTCTCACCTCGTGAGCACCCGCCTCGCCCGATCAAAGATCGGCCTCTACTAACCATGATACTCTATTTTTGAAAACTCTTGGTGTCCTTATTACCGGTTATTAGCTACTGAAGTTACATATGAGTGATGACGCACAGCATACAAGTATTAGACTGAGTCGTCTGAATTGGACAAAACTTTCATGTTTTGTTGGTTTTGAAAATGGTTTGCATACCCGGCAGGTAGGCTTAAAATGGGATTTTGGCCACCTCACAGGTGGTTAGAGGGCTTAGTAAAGATGGTTTTGCCACTATCTAGTGGGCTTAAAACACACATTTGATGAATTATTCCAATTCAAATAACCCAACCTTCACCCACAGGCACTCAGGCAGTTATATCACATAAGCAATTAGCCTCATGGTAAGCATGCTATTCATGGCAGTCACTCACACGCATGCAAGGATGCTAAAGCATAGAACTTACCGAGTACTCCAAGCCAAAATAGAAACTACATTAGAAATCATGCATGATCCTAAGTATACAAAAATGCCTTAATGCAACACATGCAAAAATGCAACTATAGCAGGCTCGGCTATTCTAAACATGGCATTTGAAATGCTACAACTAACATGTATTCAATTTGGAATTGAAAGTACGATGCAGTTAGTATGGTGCGCCGAGCCCGGTGCATGCAAAACAGATGAATGAATGCAAACATGCTATCATACTGTATGTTAATTGAAATATGTCTTGATCTAACCATCATAAGCAGGTAAATAAAAGGGAAGAAAGACGTGGGGTTGGAAGACATATATCACACTCACGCACACTTATTACAGTTGTGCCCTCGCGCAGAGAGTCCGAATAAATATACAGTCCCAAACAAAAGAATATTATAGTCCAAATAAATATTACAGTCCGAATATGTACAAATTCCTAATTAATTAACAAATTAACTAAGAAAATAAGTAAACTGGCATGCAAGCCAGGGACTGCCTTGACTCCGCTTCGGATGATAAATGATGCATGTCCGGGTTGCCTTTACGCGGAAATTCATGACGATGCCCCAATTAGCCTCTGTTTACACCTTTTCTTGAAATGCGCGCCAAGCCTCGGAAGACCGCTGATTCTTGATTTGCTGCAACAGAGAGCAGGAAAGGGGCATAGCAATGTATTTTCACAAATGTATGCATGCCTCGATCCTCGTGCCACCAATCACGCATATCGATGCATGATGGCAGAGAAGTCGAAATGTGCAACTTAATATATAATGAATGCACGTATAAACACAACAAAACCTAACTCCATCATGGGTAATCCGGAGTGTCGGTGACTAAGGAATTGAGATACATTCCGTCACTCGGAGTACGGAATGCACCTCGTTTCCCGTGCCCGGGCTAACTCCTATTCCGAACATGATGCAATATGCATGACATGCATGAAATGCAACTAAGATACAATTCTAACATACACAATGTTATGAAATAAGATGCCTCGAAATGTGTGCACGCGGGCACGCAAACCGAGAAAATGACATACGCAATGCAAATGACATGGAAATATGATATGGACTTGTACTAACATGAGAGAGCCTCAGCCACACTCACATAAGAGGCCGATGAATGAAAATGAAGTGCCTCGAAATGCGTGCACACAGGCACGCAAACCGAGGTAAGGGCATACGCAATGCAATATGGCAAAAATGGAATATAGAATGCAACATGGACTTATACTAACATGAGAGAGCCTCAGCCACACTCACATAAGAGGTCGATGAATGAAAATGAAGTGCCTCGAAATGCGTGCACACGGGCACGCAAACTGAGGCAATGGCATATGCAATGCAATGGCTTGAAAATGATATGCAAACATGCTAATGGGATTTCAACACTGAAAAGTGGGGGAAAACAGC